GTGAAAAATACAAAGTCCATCAGAGCATGTATGTGAAGTAGCTAATAAGCACATGAAAAGGTGTTCAACTTCCTTTATCATTAGGGAAATGAAAATTTAAACAATGATACCACTTTGTATTTACAAGAATGTGTACAAAAATATTGGTGAGGGCGTTGAGAAATAAGAAACCACATACATTGCTGGTGGGAATATAATTGGTAGAGCTACTTAGAAATCAGTTTGACAGTGTCTTAAAAAGTTAAATATGATTTTCTTTAGATAGAGGCAACAGACTGTCAAACTATATTGGGAAGGCGGGAGACGGTTGGGGGAGGGGTGGTAAGAGATCAACCGAAGGACTTGTTTGCTTGCATATAAGCATATAAGCATAACTAACCAATGGACGCAAGACACTGAGGGAGGAAGGTGAGGACATGTGCCTGGGGGGTAAGGAAAGCTGGGGGGAGGTTAATAGGGGGGGGGAAAGGAGACATATATACTACTATTTGTAATACTTTAAACAATGAAATAAAATTTTAAAAAAGTTAAATATGACTTTATCATACAATCCAACAATTCCACTCAAATAAACGAAAACCATGTCCACATAAAGACTTGCAGGTGAATGTTCGTTGCAGCATGATGCATCACAGTCCAAAAGGAACAACCCAAATGTCCACCAGCTTTTACATAGAAAACAAAACATGCAGAATTCAAATGAAATACTATTCAGCAATAATACAGAAATGCTGATATATGCAATGACATGGATGGACTCTGAACACATTAAACTTAAAAGAAGCCAGATTCGAAAGATATCACTATATTTCTATGAAATGCCCAGAGAAGAAAAACCTGTTAACAGAAACTAGCTATTGCCTGCCTGGAACTGGGGAGGACCAAGGTGAGGAGGGAACAAGGTTTAACTGTAACCAGGCATGAGGAATTGTTGGGATTTCGAAAATGTGTCTAAAGATGGACTGTTGTCATCAGTGCACAATTCTTAAAATGGGTGTATTTTGCAGAATTGAATTTTACCTCAATATTTTATAAAGACATATATGTGAATTTCACAGAATATAAATTACACATCAATAAAAGTATGTATAGAAAATGACCAACCCTCCCAATTTAACTTGCTCAGTTTTAACTTTAATGGAAGTTCTGTATTCAAGAAAAAGTTCTGTCCTAAGCAAACCAAGATTGGTCTCCCTGTATGTATGCTACCTTTTGTGTAAGAAAGAGGGGAAATAAGAAAACACACTTACTACTTTTCTTCATAAAACGAAATGCCAGGAAAAACAGTGAGTTGGATACTTAAAGGGGTGGGGATGGGAGTGGGGGTGGAGGAGATTGGGCTTAAGAGATATGAATGACACTTCTCTCAGTACACCTTTTGATAGTTGTGATTTTTGGAGGCAAGTAATGTTCTATATTTAAAAGATAAAATTATACCAATGATGGAGGGAGCGGGGAGGGGGAACGGGATAGATCTTATACTTGGAAGAAAACTGAAACAACTGAACCCAATTTATTTCAAATAAGTAACAGTAAAATTAAAAAAAGAGAGAGAGAATGAATCAAAGTAATTTATGAACACAGAATGTAATTATATATCTTTGGTCTGGAGCAGGGTACACATAGGGAGAGGATACAAACAAAATTGCAGGCTTTTAAGTGTGTTTTTATACATTCTGTGGGCAAAAGCAAGGAAAACTATTTTAGATGTATTATAGGATTGAACAAGTGAATAAACTGATGTACTGTTTAAAGAGCCAGGATTCCGAGGAAAAGGGGACATAGAAAAATGAAATGGAGGAGAAAGCAAGAAAGAACCCTCTGAGGAGGGATGGAATTGGAGGTATCAGTGAACGCATGATTTCTAAATCAAATGTGGATACAAGCACACGTAAGATGTGTACATGCACATTTCCTATTCTGTTGAATAGGCCTAGCAGCAGGAAAACACCTAGTAAAGGCGACACACCCAGCAGCCAAGGTTCCTTGGAAAAACTGCCAATTCTAGATCCTGGAATATCTTTTATTTATGATGGTATGGGGGGGAAAAAAGATAGAATATGCCACAAGAGATTAGGACCCAGAAGCTCCTAGTAGCCAAACCTAACACAAAACAAAGTAAGAAATGAAATGCAAGCCCTGGAAAAAACAGAAAACCAGGAGTCGAAAACAATAGTAAATATAAACATTCAGGTGGAAAGAGATAAAGAAGGAGTGTTCCCACTTACAGCAGAATGAAGAAATGCTATATATAATTAGGAAATCACCATTTTGCAACTGATGGAATAAGCAAAAGATGCTAAATCCAGGGGGGAATGTTAACATGGACTTAAAGTCTCCCATGGATTGTGATACATGACACAGCATCACCAATATGGTATCTTAGGAAGGCAAAATCTGATTGTGATGAGGAAACCCAAAGTGAAGAACATACCATTAAAAATGGAAGTAGCGGAAACAAAGACCGTACTTTTCGGAAATATGTTATGTTAAAGCCGTAAAGGACAAAGGGGACCATGGAAATTATCTGGAGTCACTGAGATTTCAGGGAGGGTAAATAAGCAAATGTTAAAAACAAAAATGGTAAAATCCCAATAATAGTTGAATCTGGGTAAAAAATGTATAGATGTTCTCTGTACTATTCTTATTTTTGACAATTTTCTGCAAATTTAAAATCATTTCTAGGTGAAGGTAGAAGAGGGCTTAGAGGGGAAAATGGTGATTTAAAAAATAAAATTATATGTGTGTGTATATCTATATCTAACTATATCCATCTACCTATATATATATTTAAAAAATAATTTCCATAAAAAGTAAAAAAAAAAAAATTAGGAGGGATTGATATTGGGTTGCCAATCTCATGTTGCCTGATAAGATTATTAAAATGCAATAAAAAAAAAGACCCTACCATCTATAATTATATCATTTTCTTTCAAGAAAGTGTGAGGAGGGAACATTTTGAACATCTAAAAATAGCCATTATCACCAAAGGATGACCCTTTAAAACAAAATTTAGATTTATAAAGACTTATCCTAGTTTTTTTCACTTCCATGTGGATCAAGGAGAGCCTGTCAGCTTTGTGTTACAGATTCAATATTCTAAACAAGGTCCATTTTTGCCAATGGATTAAATACAGTTTGGTGAAAAGAGCATGGAGTCTAGAGATATATACTGAATTCAAACCCTGGCTCCAGCTGGTACCAGCTCCTGTAACCTAACCTCTCTTTAGTTACCTCAACTATAAGGCAGGCAGCTAAATCACAGGACTATTAAGGGAATTACTGTTCTTAGAACAGTGCTTCAGAAAGATAAGGTGCTCCTTGTCACCTTATCTTCCTTTCCTTGGGAGCCACCTTTCTGTTCTCTAGAAAAGTATCTGACTAGGGCCATAATGGCCTCTCCCCACCAAGATTACATAAGAAATTGAACTATCCTGAGAATAAGCATCTTTTCTAGAGGTAAGTTTCATGAAAACCAAAGCTGGAGATATTGGACAGTGGAATAAAAAGATACAAGGTGGCTTCTGAAAACAGATGAGTTGTGGCACAGTAGCTAATTTGTTCTGTTAAGGAGGTAGAGACCACAGGAGAAGTACTGGTTTATGTTAAAAAAGTATGTTGATCAAAAAAAAAAAAAAAAAATTACACGTTGTTTTCATATACACATATTTTGCAAATAACCACCCATCTACTTCTAAGAGTAAATAATAGTTTTATGTCAAAAATAAATAGTATTAAGATAACCAATTATATTCATTTTACTGGCTTGGAAGAAAAAAAACACATCAATTCAATAAAATGTCCATAAATTATGAGATTTCATCCAGTAGTCTATTGTTTTGCTTCTTTCCACATATTTTCTGTTTGCATCTAACAGGACAATTTATTCCTTTTCTATTGCCAATGACAATTGTTCTTTTAAAATATTTTTGAAAAAGAAAAATTAAAAAGTAACTAAATTCATTATAGCAAAAAAATTGTATTGCCAACAGAAATGTAGTTTAACATTTAAAATCTTTATAAAAAATAAACAAATTCTAATTTTTCCTTTATTTCATAACTGAAAAATGAAAATGCTTATTTACATGAATATTTGATACATAATTTCCTTAATACTTCTCTATGGTGAAATATAACTATATATATATTAAAGAGAGTATATAATATTAACACTCATGACAATTTCAAACCAATGAGCATTGGTATAGCTTCAAATTACTATTAGTTGTGGCTATTCTGGACGCAAAGGCGCAAAGCTTCTAAGGGCCTAGCACACAAGAAGTATTTAATTTCACACTGTCAGAGTTCAAAAAGTGGCATCATAACGTGAAAACACTATAAATTGACATCTCTCTTATATGTCTCTTAAAACAGGCTGGAAAAATAGTACCCTTTATATAAATAAAAAAATATTTCCATTGACTACTTTTTGCCTGGAGTGATTAAGGACAAAAAAATAAAAATTCTTGCTGCTTAATTATTTGATAAACTGCTAATAAGCTCCCATTAAAAGTTCTTTAGATATTAACCCAAGTAATCTTGGTCTTATGGTTATATATTTATATATATATATATCAATTTTTTCAAGTAAAGAAATGTTTAACAGATGTAAACTATTTATTGAATATTTGCCACCAAATATTGTTAAATACATTATCTTGCAGCATATCGCTTTCAAGTTAAAATGTCAGAAACAAACACCAATATTTACAATTCTTTTAAGGAATGTTATATAATGACACATTAAGGCGTAAATTCTTTTGGCTTATAATTCTTAAAAGAATGATAATAGCAAAAGTGATGCAAAATCTTCAGTGTGAGATTATGATTAAGCTACATTTTACAAAAATATGGTGTAAGATGGCAATAATCCCATTCAACATCCTGGATTGGATCCCTTCTGGAGGGACTGATAATTTATACAGTCAAACTTTAAAATTTACAGATAAAGGCAGTTCAATACTGCCACTGAGAAGTACATCTCTTAACATATACAACTTTCAGGCCACAGTTTTGAAGGTCTGAAGTATCAAGTTGGTTTGATGAATTAGTCGGTTGGCACTTATGAACACATTTATTGCCCTGTACAAAGAAAAAAAAATCATTAATTTTATCCAAAAAATTCATTCTTTAAAAATATTTATACTAATCCCACACAATAACAGTAGCAATGAATTCAACTTGGGGGGAAAAAAAAGAACTAAAGCACTGAGTATCATAAATTTTATTTCAGATTGGAATTGAATGGTAATCATTTGAAACTATCTAGGAATTACTGCCCCTTAGTGGTTCTGGTTGGTAATTAGATGTTGGTGGGCTGCTAATGATGGCTTCTGAACCACCAAGGTTCATCTATAGGTCAAACAAATAACGGATTCAAATGTAGTTTCCCGCTATGGCTCATAAAAGTTACCAAATTAAATCTGCATTAAGTATTACACTCAGTCTCAAAATCTATATGGCAATGGGCATTATAAATGCTTAAGAAAACCCTAATTACTTTCAAATATGATTCATCCCAATCTCTCATACCTTCTTTCAAAAACAAATCTGTAAATTCTCAACTGCTTGTAGAATTAATCTACTTTTGAAACAAAATAATCATGCAATTTCAATATTTTGGAGCTGACAACATATATGTTCTTAAAAATTAGGTTGTGCTGTACCACATTTCCTATCAGCCCATCCTCAAGCAACTAGAGGACAGAGCTGATGCCCTTGTCCCACTGTGTGGCCTTACCAAGTTTTTAATTGCATAGCTAAAGATTTAATCTTCGTCTTAGACATTTATCAAGAAAGAGGGACCCCAAAGAATTAAGTTGAATCAATGCAAATCATCCCTCTATTGAAAGATGGCTCAAAGATCAGCAGGCTGTTATAATAACTTTCAGTTTGAGGAAACAGGTACAAAACTCATGGCACATTATTCATACACAACTAATTATAATTTAAAGAACCTGCTGAATGGAGAAAAAGTAGTAGCAGGAAGCCTAAATAATCTATATGCCTATTTGAACTGTTAAAAAATTGAAAGTAAATCATTTCAGATTAATGAAAATTAGGCTCTAAATGAATTTCTATCTTTCAACGTGCTTTTTCAGTGACAGTTCTTAATTAGTTAGAAGCAGAAATAATGATCCCAACATGTAAATTATCCTTTTAATGTGTTTTCTGGTTATTTGGGCTTAGCAGAGATGAAGGAAAAACAGATGCAAGTTTATTTTCAGAACACACCTGCCAGCTTATTAAACTAAATCATGAAGGAGCATTTCTCCAAGACAACCTGAATAATAGTATGAACAACAAAAACCACTAATACTTTAGCTCAGTATTTTAAATTCATAATATGAATGTAAATATTTTGACCTATCTGAACTATAAAAGATAGCTTTAAAAACCAAGACCACTCTAATATACTATCTTATTATCTTTAAATTTTATTACAATAATATTGAATAACTGGGCACAGATATAGGGATTTTAAAACTTCTATACGATAGCATGGTAGAAGTCATGCCAATTATAGCTGAAATAATCACTATTTTTCTAACTTTAAACACTGTTAGAAAATGGTTTTGTCAACAAAATCTTCTGAATTCTACTTGATATAAAAATTCACTATCAGGTTCAATGCCACAGAACACATGACCTCTGCATCACCTATACATTTTACACATAAAATTTTTGGTTTTCTGGGGTGTTTAAGAACCAACTGTATGTAAACTGAAAAATGATAAGCAATTTACCTTTTTAGTATACTTCCTGTAAAGTGTCTCTCCTGCCAGAACAATGAATCACAGCCTTTGTAGCACTGTGAAGTCACCTTGCACACTTGTATACAACTCCTAAATCCTGCTCCCACTCTAAGCCAACTGAATCAGAATCTCTGAAGGTGAGTGGAGCCAAACACTAGGACTTCTAAAAACTGAGCTCAGGGGAATCTAATGTGCAAACATTACTAAGAAGCATTTTTTTAACTTTAGTGCAGCATCTCCCAACAGACCTACCATATCACTATCACTGGGAACAATTTAGAAATAAATGTAAATTCTTGGATCTATCCTAGACAATAAGAAACTCTGGGGGTGGAACCCCAAAGCAATTTGTGCTTTAACAAGCCCTCTAGGGGATTCTGATGCTACTAAAAATGTTGGGCCAAGAAGCCAAATCTCATCTTGTTTCTGTATGAACTGCAGGCTAAGAATTTCATTTATGATTTTAAAAATGATAAAATTAAGAAAAAAATCAAAATAATATGACGAGTGACTGCAAATTTCAGTGTCTATAAATAAGGTTTTATTACAACATGGCTATAATGCCCACTTATTTCCATATTATCCATGGCTGTCTTTGCACTACAATAGCATAGGTGAGGTGGGCAATTGCAAAGAGCTCACCAAGTCAAAATAATTGCTATCGGGCCCTTTTCAGAAAAAGGCCTGCCAACACCTTCTGTCTTGGACTGGTACGGCTGGATTATCACCATGCACTCTTTATTTTTAAGTTAGTAGTTAGCAGACCTTTTTCTGACCTTGGTACTATAGTAAAAAGAATTTAATTTACATTATTTTAACTATACTACAAACCATATAATTTAATTTTAAAAGAGAAGGATAATAAGTAAAAGTACTTACTTGCCATCTTTAAAATAGGTTTTCAGAGTATCACTGAAACTTTTGGAGTACTTTACAAATTCTTTCTTTTGGTGTTCAAGTGCCTACAGACATAAAAAACAATTAAGAAAAAAATGCTAAATAAGAAAAGGGAAATGACACAAAAGCCAAAGTCAAAGATAGGAAGTTATTCCCAGTAATCAAACCATCTTAGTATTTAATTCAATAAAATAATAAGGTGTAAACTAACATCTAGGATGGCTTCTAGGAAACTTACCCTGCGGTTCTGGTATTGGTATTTCTTGAAGACATTATTCACTGTATCAAGAAGTTCTTTTATTGCACTAGCAATATCCCTGTGAGTTAAGAAAAAAAGAATTTTCTTAAAATCAGTTATATTTGAAAGAAGTTTGTATATATCTTCTTAAAGAATCTTTATTATTGAAAGTATTACACATGTCCCTTTTTTTCTGTATATATCTTTTTAAGAATTACTAACTATACTGTTAATTACCATACTAACATTATGTCATGCACAAACATCTGACTGGCAATTGAGGGGGGTTTTTAGCATGTACCCTTCTGTTATCCTGACTTCTGCACTACTGACCACAAATTCCACATAAATTTTCCTAAATTATTAACATTTCTTTCAATATTACTGACTTAAATTTAAAAGAATATGTTTCTGCCTCTCATCTTTTCCAGTTATAATTTTTCCTTTCTCTAATATGGCTGACTTTAAGTTACCATATACTCTGTTTTTGCTAGATCATAAACAATTATATGAAATTTTGCTATTATATATAACTCATTTCTATATTTACCAACACTCCTACATACCCAGTAATTTGTTTTGAAATATTTCCTCCTCAGATATAGCTCTTCTCTTGAAACATTTATCTCCTTCTAACAACCATGTATCCTCCCCCTTTAAACCTATATTTATGTATATAAAGTGTATAATTTTCTGGGAGTGACAATATCTGATTATTTTTCTACCTTACCTTTTCCAGCAATCATCCTTCAGGTGTCCCTCAAAAGCTGTATACACACTTTAAGTGCTGATAATTCACTTAATTCTCACTCCTTTTCAAGTTTAACTGATTTGAAATAATGGGTGAAGCCAGACGAAGCTTTGGGGGAAAAAAATTTATCCACCAGACGATTTTATGGGGATACATAAAAGATGAAGTTTACCGTACAAAACTGGCAACAGTTGACAAACTGAGGGCACACAAATACGAACAAAATGATTCTTGATGTTTGTGAATCTATTGCTTCTCGTTATCAACAGTGCCTGGACCAGAATGGTCATAAGGTAGAAAACAGTGTTGACAAAAAAAAAAAAAGTAATCATTTCTATAAATTCTTTTAAATTTTGATAATGAACTATATGTTAATAAACACTGACTTTATAATCATTCTAAGTGTGTACACATTTTTAGGGGACACCATATCTATGCATCAATATCTCCCTCTCCTTAAAAAATGAGAAAGTAGAAGAAATGGAGATTTCTTTGAAGTGGAGATTCAAACCTAATTCTGCTAACACATACAAACTTCCTATTTATGTAGTGTTGTTGTTTTTTCTGAACTCTTCCTATATTTTATATCTAAGCTCTTTTCAATTTTCATGTTCTAGCTTAAAGCAATCTTTCTTGGCCAAACTGAATTCAACATAATTCTGCATTTATAAGTAGTCTCATATTCTCTAAGGCAAACCTTCTCTTTTTCACATCCATTCTCTTTGCCATTCAAACACAATCCAAGTGTAAACATGAATTAGTACGATATACATCCAGACTATCTCAAATATAATTTTTTTTATGATTGACTTTTTAATCATTAATGTCAGATTTCAGTTATTTCAAACCCATAACAATCTTTCTGCTTTGCTACTAAAGGGGAAAAAAGGTTCAGTGTGCAGATTGTCCAGCTTTCTAGACATGTGTGTGTTTCACAGAATATTTCCAGTAAATCAGCATATGGAAATTCTAAAACTTGTAAGTAGATAGGATTTTAGAATGAAGAAAGGTATTTTCGCCTATTCTAAAGTAGTAATGACATTTCAATAAATACTTATTACATCCTAATGTCAAACATCAGCCTCAGGCTGAAACATTAAAACATTACATGTTCAAATAAAACAAAGAATTTTAATTGAAATGACATTTGTGTACCCGTTTTTTGCCTTTAGTTTAGTAAAAAGTTTTAAACTATACAACTGTTATTTCATTTGTAGTTTTAAGCAAGTTGAATCCTGCTGTATTGCTGTGATGACTGTAAGTCCGCTTATATTTAATAAAACAAAGTCACATGACCATCCTATTATTTGAGAAAAATTACAATTTCAACAAGTAAAATATGCCAAATCACTGCATATGGATGATTCTTTAAATTCACAGTGAAACTATTTAAAACAAAATATAATGCAGCAGATTATAGTGATCAGAGAGCTGTTTTCACTGAGCCGTACTTAGTAGTATACTTTAAAATTCTATCGAAAAGAACAAAAATGTACATTCAGTGCTAACCAGCATGAACATATGTTCCATGTACAAGAGAATAGCTGCATTCCAGAGTCGAAAGAACATTCTGAAATTAGCAGCTCCCTCCCTCACCTGAGAGCAAAAACTAAAAAGGGGGAGGGGAGGGAAGGGAGGTTTTAATGAACAATGCTCCATCCTACTAATAAATATTGGGAATCTGTGCTTTAAAAGAAAATGGGGGAAGAAAAAGGGGGGGGGGAGGGCGCACCAGGTGATTCAGCTAATAAACCTGGTTTGGAAGCCACTGTGTAGGAACTCAGAACCTAGAGCTAAGGTTTGATCTATTATTTGCCAAGAGCTTTAGCGAGGCTGTTTATCCTTAGGCCTGGCATTCTCTAAAACAACCTACAGCAGTTTATATCAAATATTATGTCATTTGTATGTTCATAGAACATTTTCATTTATGGAACCAAGGAAGCTATATTATATTACCGAGTACTGAAGATTTGGTTCCAACCAGAGAAAATCCCCGTAGGCATATCTCTCTCTCTCTCTCACGCTCTCTCTCTCAACACACACACACACACACACACACACACTAAACATGCAATAGTTAAATTAAATAAAGAACTAGGGAAAACTTGATGGTAAAAGAACTACAGTTGAGTTAATGGTTTCTATGATAAGGGACACAGAGCTACTAAGAGGGGCAACTTTGGGGAAACATAACACTGAGAGGACAACAGGCATTAGGTGAAATATAAACATACATCCTATCAAAAAATTGCATAGAATAATAGTGTTTCTAATCATATCACCCTAATTTGTGTATGTTTAATACAACACTCTAAAGGAAGGAAATTCCTAGGCTGTATGTTTGCTCTAGACAGGTCAGCTCTGGAAAAGCTAATGTGAAGCTATCAAGGAAACCAAACCCTGGTGAATTTTTTGCCTATGAATATGCAAATGTAGATTATAATGAGTAAATAGATAAATGCATAGCGTTCTGGTCTATTAAATCACAAGTCTCTACTAGTCATCCATTAATTGGAATGTGTCAGATTTTTAAAAGAATCCCATGAATTAATTTTATAAAGTATTTGCATAAGCTCAAATGTAATCAAACAGAAACATTCATTAATCAAAAGTACTTTAAAATATTTGTTTGCCGGGATCATTTTTCCTAATCAACTCCATAGAGAGAAATTGAAATAAACCTTACTTTACAATGTCAGTATGTGTTGTCAGTAGATGCTATTTCTTCTAATTCTCACAACTATTACCCTCATTTTCACAGGCAGAAACAAAATAAATACAGAATTTAAGCACCTTACCCAAGTTACATAGCTAAATATTGAAGTGGAGATTCAAACCTAATTCTGCTAACACATACAAAATTATCTGAATATTTATTAGCTAAGAGTATGTTTTTTCTACTCTGGTATAACCTATAACAACATGTACAGTACTTGGTGTAGTAGGTATTTGATACATGCTCACTGAAAAATACTGCTAAAATAAATAATAAAGAGCAGAACTACCTTAAATATGAGAAAGTAAAATATTTGAAAGATAGATAGTAAGTGCACAATATGTGTGGCCTAAAGGATAAACCATTGCTTTCATGTTGCTAAAACTTTAACCACTAATTTGTTAAACAATGTAACAGTGGTGACAGCATATCAAAATCTATCTTTTTTTCTATCTACCTATCAGATCAGTAACACAAATAATTGCAGCTTTAGCTATGTATGCTAATTCATACATCGTTGAGTACTATTATAGTCTCAGAAATAAGACATATTATCAACAAACATTTCATTGCAAATTATCCCTAGAATGTATAAATTTTAATTGCCAATAATATTAATTCAGTTGTGCAGAGTACTTTCCAGAAATGAAATATTACTATTGTTCTGTAAATGAGAGACAAAACCCCTAATTCAGTTACTGTCAATGACTATGGACAAGAGTCTTAGGCTCTTGACCTCAACATCCTTATGGTTAAAATGCAGCTGCTAATAAAGTGGTTTTCAAACTCTCTCTCTAGGGCCAGACTGGATTTAACACAGATGCTTCAGGAACTCGACAGGGGGAAGGAGAAGAGGAATCAAAATAGCAGGAGAAGGACTCCAGGTCAGTCACTTCTACCCTGGCTACGACAACACTGTTCTCCCTCTGACCTACTGGCATTCTATATAAGATATCCTTTATCAAACTTCTTCCAAACAACAGCAACTTTTCATTCAATTACCAAATTAGATCAACACTATGAATCGATGATAGGGAAACAGCAGAGAAGACCCTAGAGTCAGTCTACTTGATTTCAAACCAGGTTCTCCCATCTTACCAGCTCTGTGAACTTGAGAAAGTTTAATTTCTGATGCCTCAATTTCCTCATCTATTACAGAGATTTGTAGTAAGTTAATATGTTATAAGTACTTTTAAAAGTGCTTATCATGTAAGTTCTATATAAGTAATTAATATTATTAAGATAATATTGATCCTGTAAACCTCTACTTGAATGACCTGAAGCAAAATTTGCTGAAATTATTAAGAACATCAAATCTTCAAAAAAGTGTAGTACACATCACCAAAACAATTTTAAACTTAATTATTAGAAAATTATAGAAATAAAATTTTTAAACAGCTGTGTTTGAGATCTCTGACAATTTATCCTTTTATGGACCAAACATGTTTACTTTATACCAAATTAAAAATCCACAAACATTTGACTGTCTTCCTTCTTCACATATTAAAAATAGTTTAAGGAAGTTGGGGCTTCTCAATCATGGCAAAATATTTACCTTAGGGTTTGTATCCCATTGCACAGATTTTGGCTAGTCAATGAAGCCTTTATCATACATTCCAGTCCTTGATTAGAAGACCAAAGTGAGGGACATTCCTTGATAGCTGGGTTGGGCACCCATCATGTACATTTTCTAAATGGAACATACTTCTCCCTCTCTATCACTCAAAATAGGTGCCCAAACTAGTTAAAATAGCATTTTGCAACGTAAATTACAAAGAATATGATTTTTGAGAAATGAATGTTAATATTTATTCCAAGTAAGACTTCCTAAGTTAACAATATGAAATTTCATGCAATCGCTAAATCTTTCCTTTCTAGCAATCTCTAAGCTGTAATTTCACCAACAGGTTAACAGCATGACTGCAATTATTCCAATATTTCTCTGTTTTTTTTTATCCATAAAGAGTACATGACTTGTCCTAATGACTTGTGCTATTTCTGAAATAAAAACAATGTTATCCAGCCATATTATTTATCCAAAACTTTTTTATTCACTTTAACATGACATTTAATTTTTCCATGTTTTATATAGTTTAAACTATATTTCAATTTATGTACATTTCATTGTTTTAAAATTAAATACTAAACAAATGTTACTGGTATTCTGAAGTGAAATGCCACAGCTTAGAAGTTAACAAAGCATTTAAAAACTCCAAATTTGTTTCAAATTAATATTTTAATTTAACATTTATGTCATACTAAAATGAAGTATCTAGAATGAGAGGTTCCTATGAAGTGCTTAAGAAAAGAACAAAAACAAGAAGTTGCTTACTTGATTGTCTGGAGAAACCTCACCCTGTCATTGATCTCATCTGGGATCTTACTGAGAATCTGTTTAAGTGCTCGTGCCTTTTCGTTTAGGTCCTGGAATTCTGGCTCTGGTCGTTCAATCATATACTCTGATAAAATAAATGCATAATAAAAAGCATCAGGCAACTCCCTGTCAAATGCAAGTCTACCAATTCCCAAGTTGGTTACGAGGGTGAGGGAGGGGAGTATAAAGGCTAGATAACCAGGAAAGACAAGGTTGCAAAAGCAGAATTTGTTAAGAGTTCAACTTAGTTTGGTAATAACAGGACTCCCAGGAAATTAAGATAACAGAAGATGAAAGACGAAACATTTTCAATTTGGGATAAATAGAAAGCCCAAATAAAAATAAATAAATAAAATTAAAAGGGAGTCTTAATCAAATTGACCAAACCTCTGAAAATACATTTCTCGAGAAAACCTTAATGATGTTCATGACAAATACGATGGCAACATGTATTATACCTGCCAATGGGGAAGGTGAGCTTAACAAAAATCTCTACATTGAATATACAATGGCTCATTATACCAAAACCTAAACAACCTACTAAAGTGTTCACTTAAAAATCTCACTTAAAAACACACACACCAAAAAACACTACCAAAAATTCAACACAAGGATTGAATCACAGAAGAGCAACCTTAGAAAGGAAGTTTAATCAGACCTGGTAGAGGCAAAAACATTACTATTAATAGTAGATTCATTGTAGACGTTGGAAACATTACAACCCTACCAATCAATGCAACCTGGCCTCACAGACTGGAAATGCGTAAGTTTAGAATAATGATGAGGACTTTCTTACAAATTATGGAATCAGTTAAAATATTTCCTTTTTTTTCTCCCCCAATAAAGATGGGAAATTTTCTATTTTTCCTTAATTAGTGGGAAAATGGGTACTAAATTTAAGTGAAACCCATTTCTAATTATTTAAAAAAGCAAAAAATGAGAAAGAATGGTTATTATATTGTTTTCTCAAATCTGTGGTTGAATAAAATACTAAATTAGAAAAACCCTCATTAATTCAAACTGCTTTTTGCATCAAGTCAACACAAAATTAAAACAAACAAACAAACAAAAAAACATTCCACTGAGTTTATCTTTTGACAAAACCAGAACTCATCAAATATATTCAACAAGGGGAGAAAATTTAAGTGTATAACATAAACAAACACTTTACTTCAAGTAATTAAACCTGAGTCTGACAAATATAAAACAGAAAGCAAGAACTACTTTTCTATTTTATAGACCCCACTTCCCACCCCGATATTATCACAATAATAATAACAAAAAAAACAAAAGAAGAGAAGGAGGAGAGGGGAAAGAGGAGCTGGAACCTTTTGTCAAGCAATGAAGATTTGGAAGAAGTGCTTTTCTACAACCATAAGAAAACTAAACAAGGCTCTTTTCTGATTACCTTCTACATCATCAGCTGCCATTCGAAGAAGCGATTCTGTGAAGTTAACTTCTACACTTTTTTTCTCTAAAATTTTCATTATGATGTCTTGTGTGAGACCTGGATTTTCTTTTTCAGCCTATAAGAAAGAGAAAGCTAGTTTTGAAATGTAGAAATGAAACCAGAATTTTAAAACCAAAACTTAAATGTTTAGAAGGTTTGGGAACTTAGACTGATGAACCTAGAAAGGCAGAAATCTTTGTAAAGCAGGTGTGGTGATGGTATCACTTCTGTTTGATAAAACTTAAACATCAGTAACGTTTTATTACAATGTTTACTTTCCATTTGAACACAAAGTACTTAACACTTCCTACTTCTCCTTTACCTTCTCCTACAGTCAAACTAATAATAAAGACATAAATACTAATAAACATTTATATTTTTAAAAGCTAAAATAGACTAAGGATTTTTAATTTTTTTCATTAAGTAATCTTTCAACTTGAGGATCTAGCAATTAATTACTCATCTTACCAGTATTTTACAGATTCTCCACATTTAAATTAACAGAATGTCAGGAATAGGAAAAATAAAACAGGATTACTTTTGCAAATTTTCTTAAAAGATATATAATCCCTTAAATACTTTCCCATACAATCATTTTCACTTTGTTTTATTTTTGTAGCAAGACTATTACTTTCCCTAGTTTCCAGAACATTATTAATCCTTTTACTACCCTGAGTTTATTTGGCTAATGAGTTTGCAATGGTTCTGTTACTCCCTAGGGCACTAAAATTCTCTAGTCATTTCAGTACTGAGCATAAAGAGTTCTGAGTTTACCAAAGTTAATTTTCGAGATTTGGGTTTTCCCCACTAATTTTACCCAATTTTATAATTGTTCAAAATTTTATAATCACACTATATATTTGTTTCTTTTAGGATGACTGCCAATTTTAATCATTATGCTGATGATTCCTCATCTTTCTTGCCCTGATATTAAATAGAAAATAGAAACAATTTATGATCTTAACCATATGGTGACCTATTTGTTTTCTTATGTGTCTAGCACATTTAATCTGCCTATTCAATTCCACTCTGGTATCACTGCAGATCCAGCTTTCTTCTGCTCCTATTGCTCTCTCCATTATGACATCTTGTTTCTCGTTATTGTAATACAAAAAACTAAAATGCTATGGAATTAAATAGGAAAAGAAAATATAAACATTTATCTCACTTTTAACTATTTTCAAATGATCCCCAGGAAAGTCATTTTGATATATAATTAATAACAATAAAGTGGGTCTTACTAATTCCATTTTTGTTGTTGCTAATCCTCACTTGAGGATATTTTTCATTGATTTTTAAGAAGAATGGAAGAGCCGAAACCGGTGTGGCTCAGTGGTAGAGCGTCGGTCTGCGGACTGAGGGGTCCCAGGTTCGATTCCGGTCAAGGGCATGTACCTTGGTTGCAGGCACATCCCCGGTAGGGGATGTGCAAGAGGCAGCTGGTCGATGTTTCTCTCTCATCGACGTTTCTAACTCTCTATCTCTCTCCCTTTCTCTCTGTTAAAAATCAATAAAATATATTAAAAAAAAAAAAGAAGAAGAAGAATGGAAGAGAGAGGGAAAGACAGACAGAAACACTGATGTGAGAAACACATTAACTGGTTGCCTCTTGCCTGACGCCTGTCCAGAGCAGGTGCAGGGGAACAGCCTGTAACCAAGGTACACGCCCTTGACTGGAATCAAATCAGGATCCTTTGGTCTGAAGGCCTATGCTCTATTCACTGAGCCAAACTGGCTAGAGCTGAATTCTATTTCTTTTAACTGTAGTCCCTATTTCTCATGGAGGATATATATATTCCAAGACTCCCAACAGAGGCCTGAAACCAAGGATAGTACCAAACCCTATAAAGACAGATGCTCTTCAACTTATGACAAAGTTATGACCCTATAAGCCCACCTCAAATGAAAAATATCCTAACTTGAAAGTGCATTTTATACACCTAACCAACTGAACATCACAGCTTAGCCAAGTCTACCAATACTCAGAACTCAGTATTTAAAAAATGCTGATAACAGCCGAAGCTGGTTTGACTCAGTGGAAGAGCGTCGGCCTGGGGACTGAAGGGTCCCGGGTTCGATTCCGGTCAAGGGCATATACATTGGTTGCGGGCACATCCCCAGTGGGGGGGGTGCAGGAGGCAGCTGGTCAATGTTTCTCTCTCATTGACGTTTCTAACACTCTATCCCTCTCAATTCCTCTCTGTGTAAAATCAATAAAATATATATTTTTTAAAAAAATGCTGATAACACAGTACACTGTAGAGTATTGGTTGTTTACTCTCATGCCTGTCTGGGAGCTGCAGCTCAATGCCACTGCCCAGCATCATGAGACTATTGTACCACATATTGCTAGCCCAGGAAAAGATCAGAGTTCAAAATTCCAAGTATAGTTTCTAACAAATGTAGATAGCTTTCAAAACACTATACAATCAAAAAACCCTTAAGTCAAACCATGATAAGTTGGGGACTATCTGAACTGTTTTTCCTATTCATACATATCTATGATAAAGTTTAACTTATAAATCAATTAGGCACAATGAGACCAACAATAACAATAAAAAAAGAACAGTTCTATCAGTGCACTGTTAAAAAATTATGTAAATATAGTCTCTATCAAAATATCTTATTGTAACCAGCCCTTACTTAAGTAAATATGGCTTGGTGTCACTTGTTTTAAGGGACCCCTTGCTTAAATCCTCACATAGTCTCAATGTTTCCTGGTGCAACACATTTTTGTTATCAATTGAAATATTTTCTGTTCATGTCTTCCACCCACAAATTTAGTGACTTTTTAACTTAACTAAATAAACATTTACCATGCACTGTGGCAGTAACTTTTGCAGTTTGAGAAGGGACAGCAAAATCTGCACAAATTTCTTTATAATTTCATGAATATAAGATTTGTTCTTACCACTGACCTTAGCAACCTGGACATACACATTTTTCTTCTTCTTTTCTTTTTAAGTCAAAAACTTTCACCTAAAGGAAGAACTTTTGGCTTCTCTTTTAACATATCCCAATTGCCGGTATAACTGCTTTTGAGCTTTGTGGCCATAATTAAGTAAAATAAGGGCTACTTAAACACAACTACAATACCAGGAACGGCTGATATGTCACTAAGAAAGCAACTAAATGTCTAACAGCAGGGAGCACATACAGCATAGAGAAACTGGACTAAGGGATAATTCAAGTCCTGGGTGGGACTGAGGAGGATGGTGTGAAATTTCATCCCAATATCCATAATGGAACAAAATTTAAAACCTAAGAACTTATTATTATTTCTGAAATTTTAAAACTTATAAATTTAAAGTCAAACCATAAATTTATAATTTAAAAATTATAAAACATTATTTCTGGAATTTTCTATTTAATGTTTGTGAACCACAGTTAAAACAGGTTAATTAAGTGTAACTGTGGATAAGGGGACCACTGTATAATCTGTTTTTATTTTTCCTTCCACAGATTTATTTAAGGTAGGATCTGCTTAATGAAAAGAAAAATAAGTTGTCTTTAAAAGAAAAGCTATAGAATGCAGTATAAACTTTATGAATTTGGTGAACTGATACAAAATTACATGTACGACACTATTTAAATAAGCCAATATTTGATAACTGGCTTATCTTTCCTAAGTAGCATAAATTATAACACATTATTTTGGGAAGCAGGGGGGCAATCTCTATATGCTTCCAGACAATGCCTGCAGAAAACAATCTCTGTGATTAAGTTATAATAAGGTGCTGAAAAAAAATCAAATGCTGAAAGCCTGGCAACAAAGTTTGCAATATCAAGTTGGTTTGGGGCCCTAACATGCCAAAGCTGAAACATTACAGAGGTCATTAATGTTCTAAAGTCAATGTACCTAGTGCCAAAAGGAATACCTAACAGTACTGTGTATTACATAGTCAGGTTCAAACAACTTAATAAATACTGAAGGCCTAAGAAACCTAATACCTTTTTAAAAAAAATACACCAATTGATAGAAAAATATTTAATTTCATTCTTCTAATAACTATAATTACTTATTTTAATGAGATCTGTAAACCCTGGTAGGCACTGCACAATGTCTCAAATGCTGGAATTAGATTGGACACTACCCTCATTTCCTGTTGTACATTGATTTCCTTATGGTACTTGCTTTTTTCACAGCAATGACCAAAGTCCAGCTGACAAAGACATGACATAACTGAAAGGAATGCAATTCAATCAAATACATTGCAACAGCATACTGCAAGCTAATAGTTCAGTGACAACCAGATGTTGAATATCACTGTGTTTCTTTAAAATTTTTAAATATTTCATGACACCCAAGATATTTGCTATGGGGTCCCAGGGTGCCCTAACACATAGTTTGAGAAGAGTTGCCTTTTATTTTCAGTCTGAACTCTTACTTAGGCTACTTTTTATTTAAAAAGCCTTAAATTTATCCAATGACTCTGACAAAATAAACAGATCTATTAAATCAGAGACTATATACCTACAGGTTTCTCCCCCCCCAATAAAATTTTTATGAAGAATCCAACTGTAAGAAAAAAACTGTTCCCAAGGGCAGTAATATCCAATCTGTAAATCAGTGATACTCAACAGCACAATCTATCAGAACTTTTAGAGGGGAAAGGAATCAAAAGCAGAATATATATTTACTAAAATTATTTTATCTTGAAATAAATCATTTCAACCCTTTTTCCCCAATAACAAAAACAGGTATTAAAGCTCAATAAATATAACTGTTGTTATGGAACCAGAACTAGAAATATGCATTTAAATATACTATATAAACACAAAAATCTTTATCTTTCCAATGCCACCTTCCTTTAATTTCATTTGAAATTTAACATATTAAATGTGATAATAAAGAACAAATCAATGTTTTCTTCCAAAATAACTTTCACTATCCACAGTTAAAAATCCATGCCATGGAGAACAAAATTTACCCATGTATCAAGCCAGATCTACCATAGCCACATACTTTAAACAAATTGCTTTTTACTTGTATTTCAGTGTTAAAACATGTATAAAGACATTATCAAAAAAAGCTTCATGAAATTCATTATTTTATCTCTTTTATGAAAGTCATTTAGTATACCATCTACTGCTTCAGACAGGGTCTTCTTTACCAAAATACACAGGATAAATATTCTCTGTTCTAGTATCAGAAAAGCTGAGAAATGGACTTTTGCCTAACCAATACTACATTGTGCAACCTATCACTTTTCCTTCTTTTCTATGGTTACAAACATGCTTAAAATAGTTGCCATTAAGCCTCCTTACTGACCAAATATGGCATACCAAATCACACTAATAAGGAAAGGAAGGAAAAAAATAAAAGATAATGGCATTGATTTGTTGATTCTCTGTATTAACCCAAATCATTTGGCAAGAATGTTTTAAAGAAGCTAGTATGAATGTGTACTCAGAACTACATTTTATAGGATATTAAATACATCTAAATAATTTTAATCCAACATATTTAATATGAAAAGAGAGATGCCAAGTGACATTATCTATGCTATCAGTTAAGACTGGAATCTATAAGCTAATCTTTGCCAAAAAAATATCAGATGAATTTATAATTTCAACTCCAATGAATCTCAACTATAAATTTATTCTTGATTTAAAAATTAAAATACTTTACCTAAACAAGTTTTTTTTAGCTATTGAAAGGAACAAACACACACAAAGTAAATAAAAATTAAAGTTAGAGGCACTCTGAGGATGTATTTTGGGGGATGGGGGATATGCAAGAATGCACCCAACATGTAAAGTAGGGGCATCCAATAAAAATATAATTCAAGAAACAAATATAAGCCCATGTAATTTTAAATTTTCTAGTAGCCATATTCAAAAAGTTTTTAAAAAAAAATATAATTATCTTAAGCCCTGGCTGGTTTGGCCCAGTGGATAAAGTTTCAGCCTGCAGACTGAAGGGTCCCAGGTTCAATTCCTGTCAAGGGCACATGCCCAGGTTGTAGGCTCGATCCTCAGTAGGGGGCGTGCAAGAGGCAGCTGATCAATGACTCATCATTGATGTTTCTATCTCCTTCTCCCTTCCTCTCTGAATCCAATAAAAATATGTTTAAAATATATAAAAAATGTAGTTGTCTTAAGAGTCCATCTAAAAATTCATTTTGACATGGAAACAATATAAATTACTTAGTACTGAGTTATTTTACATTCTTTATTTTGTACTGTCTTCGAAATCTGGCATGTATTTTACATGTACAGTACAATTAAATTGGAACTAGCCATATTTTAAGTCCTCAACAGTGACAGATGGCTAGTGATTATTAATTGAAAATCTCAGGTCTAGAAAAAAACAGAAAAATTCATGCTGATTGACTTAGCTGTATATTCTCAAAGTGTACTTAATGTGATGTACACAGAGGTCTTATTTCACGCTTAAAACACTGTTTTATACTTATGTCCTAAAATTGAAAAATATGAACATTTTTGAGTTACAATTTTATAAAAGGTTTAACAAATAAAAGCACCAAGTGAAAGGATGAATTTTCAGGAAAGAGCACTTGTGTCATATCACTTTTTAGAAGTGTATTAATCTTTACAGAGTACACCAAAACAGGCACAAGGTAGCTAAAAGGATTGTCACTAAGAAAATAATTGGTATTTAGATTTATGTATAACATACATTCAAACAATCACAATAAGTTACTTTTGCCTCACCTTAATGAAAGCTGCTCTCAGTGTCTGAGCTGCAGACAGATTTACTCGTTCTAGCTGCAATAAAAATTTTAAATCAAAATTAATATCAATTTTCTTAGAAAAAGCAACATTTCTGATATTCCATTCTATAGTAAGCACATTGATATACACATCATTCTAACAAAAGTATTGGCTAATTAACTCTAACTCATCATAATTCTTTAAAGAGAATTATCTAAAAAAATTTCATTAGAAGCCATGAAAAATTAAGCTACGTATATCAGTTCTTTATTCCTTTTTTTAAAAAAAACAAGAAACACTGTACTTTATTTTAAGCAAAAGCAGTTTACTGAGAGATAGACAGACTCCCTTTGGAGGAAAGGAGCCCAAGTGGGTTGCTCAGAAACACTGTACTTTAAAGATAGATTTATTTTAAGATTAGCACAAAATACAAAATAATGTAAATCCCTCTAGGAAGAATAAACACTTTTGTGTGTGTCTATTGAATATAAAATGACCAATACAAAGAAAACATTTGCTACTTAAGATTCTTTGTATTTACCACCATACTCCTTTTAATTGCTTTTCAATTCCCTAAGCCAAGGATTAAGCTGAGATTAGTCTATTTTATTAATTAGCAAATAGTGAAGATAAAAGGTTTGTTTGACTCATAAATTGAAGACTGCGGATCATCCAGGATTTCAGAGATGCGTATATCTGTCCTGTATTTTATCAGGATTAAAAAAGAGTTACATAAAATACTAAATCAAAAGTACAATCCAAATGCTTTTAATTTTTATGCCAAATACTAAAGGCCCAGTGCACAAATTCGTGCACAGGTGGGGTCTGGCCCATATGCCCCAATCGAGGCTGACTGGAGCAGGGCTGGCTGTGGGTAGGGGCGGTGGGCAGTTGGCCAGCTGGCCCTGTCCCCTTGGTTGAACTCCCAGTGGAAGGGACAATTTGCATATTAGCCTTTTATTATATAGGATGTAATGTTTATAATTTTGAAAGATAAAATGACCATATTAGAAACTTTATACAATTCACTTTCAGTGAGCCAAAGAAGGCATCCTATATAATAAAGAGGAACCCTCACAAGATGACTGCCTATGACAGGCAGGCAGGGAGGTTAGTGAGGGATGACCAAACGACTGAATAAGCTGGCTATGTGGGGCAATCAGGCCGGCAGAGGGGTTAGTGAAGTACGACCAAACAACTGAACAGCAGGCTGCGTGGGGTGACCAGGGTGGTGGTGGTGGTGGTGGGGGCAGGCATGGGAGGCAACCAGGCTGGCAAGGGGGTGCAGTTGGGGTCGAGCAGGCTGGCAGGTGGGAGGTAGTTGGGGGCAATTAGGCTGGCACCGGGGTCAGTGAGGGGCGATTAGGCCGGCAGGGGGATAGTTGGAGGCAACCAGCCCAGCAGAGAGGTCTACCAGGCCAGGAGGGGGAGCAGTAAGAGGTGACCAGGCAGTTGAGTGATTAGGAGCTAACAGTCCAGCACTGTGAGAGGGACATCCCCCAAGGAGTCCCAGATTAGAGAGGGTGCAGGCTGGGCTGAGAGGACTCCCCACCATGCATGAATTTCATGCACTGGGCCTCTAACACAATTTCATAAAAAAACAAAAATACTTCTTTGTTGAAGAGTTAACTGCTAGGCTTAAAATAACTATCTTCAGTTAAATTCAGATTTCTTTAGTACATAAGAATTAAGCCAGTTAACTAAATAAAACTCTTAAGTATTTATTTTTTATTTGGGACAGTATTAAATGTGCAAAAGCATTCTAACCTTTATAAATTTCTATGCAAATAGAAAATTTCTACAGAAAATTTATTAACCTATTAAGCAATAAATAATCCTTTCAATCTCAAGGCATGGCATACAAGATGGGGCAAAACTAGGTTTACAGTTGAGTACTAGATATAGTTTATCTCCAACATCACTTTATCTCCAAAAATAAAAAGTGCAGTATTTAACTTAGCTTCTTACACATCTTGCAAAATGTAACATTGTCTTTAGTAGGTAAAAGGGGAAATACAAGGGGACAAGTTAGCAAAAAAGCAACTCCATGAGGAATTTATAGAATATTAACTAAGAGATATATCTTCAAAACTGAATTTTTCCCCACAGAATTCACTTAGTTATAATGAATAGAACTGAAGATTAAAATAACAGCTCTTCTGATCTCAAGTTCTTGTTATGCAGGATAGGCAGAAGGAGACAGGATGAATGTTTCCACCCTGATAGAAACCTATTTCCTTATTTGGGTTAACACCACATTCTGACCTCTTTCAACAAGTCAAAGATCTGAGTCACATGTGTGCCTTCAATTATCAGCAATATAACTCATTCTCTAATGCCCTAAGATGCAAAAGGCTCAAGGCCAGGAAAAGAGGTCAAGAATAGTCTGTGAAGAACTCATAGAATTAGCCAACTTCCCTTACTATCTGCATTTCTAGATTTCTAGATTAAGTTTACATATGTATAACTTAGAAAAGGGAGATCAGGGGTAACAGACTAAATCAAATCTGTGAGCTATGAAGCACCTCACCAGAACTCTAAGAGAAGTCATTCTGGGATATATTATATACCCACATATCTTGTAATGAACCCACTAGGCTTAATACCTATGTGATATCCACATTCCCCAGGGAATACCAGGCATATAGGCACTATAGATATTCTAATTGAACTTATTTTCTCATAAATTTATCTAAATTGTTCTGTAATCTATAATTTCAGCTTGTAATACTCAGACAGCAAGATAAATTTTTCTTTTAAAAAATATATTAATTTTTTACAGAGAGAAAGGGAAAGGGATAGAGTTAAAAACATCAATGAGAGAGAGAATCATCGATCAGCTGCCTCCTGCACACTCCCTACCAGGTATGTGCCCACAACAAACAAGGGGACAAGAATCAAATCTGGGACCCCTAAGTGCACAGGCCAACGCTCTATTCACTGAGCCAAACCAGTTAGGGCAAAATATGTTTTTCTTTTCCTTATTAAAAGTGCTTCCATTTTAGGCCTCTCACTTGAGATATATGATTTCATAATAAAATCATGCTTATCTTACTAGTACCTTTCATGACAATATCAGGTTCTAATAATATACTAACAGCTTTCATCTACTAAGGACTTATTATACAGCATATTTTTATAGAGTATCTCTAATCCTCACAATAAATATGGAACTAGTTATCATCTTTGTTTTATAAAAGAAACTCAGTTTGCATAAATTTATGCAAATATTAAAAAGCTAGTAGAGAAAGGATTCATACTGGGTCTGGCTCCAAATCCCATGCATAAGACTAATACTACCCTGCCTCCTTATACTCACTCTCTCCAGAGGGGAGTCTACCCTGTCACTGAATTTCTTCAACTACTTAAGAGCCAACAAATTCCTGAGTTTCTACCATGTGTAAGGGAGACAATGTGAGTGAGTCACATCAATTGGTTGCCTCCCACACAAGCCCCATCTGGGTCCAGGGATGGAACCTGCAACCCAGGTACATACCCTTGACTAGAAATTAAACTTGAGACCCTTCAATTTGGGGGCTGACACTCTAACCACCGAGCAAGCCTGGCCAGGGTAAGAAATATTTTTTAGTCTCATTTTATATGTAAAAAAACTAAGACAAAATTATATAACCTAATAAGTGACAGAGAAGTAATTCAAATGGAAATATTAACTATGATTACCTCTGGATGGTGGTATTGTAGAGGAAACTCATGCCTTCACTGTGAAAAAGTATGTTTATTATGCTCAAAATTTGGGATTTTTTTTTCACTAGGAAAAAATAAAAAGGACAGATAAAGCTGGAGAAGTATTCTCAGATTCATTTCCTTATTGATAAGAGTTGTACCATACATGCTGCTGAGAGTTAGCAGAAATAGTTGATTTAGATTCTTCTGAATAGAATAATACTAATTAATTATCATGAGTGTCGTTTTATGTGTGTGTGTGTGTGTGTGTGTGTGTGTGTGTGTTTAATAAAAGTATAAAACTTTCTAAAATCTACCTTTGGTTGCAAAGTTGTTATTTCTGTCTCAAAATACCTACTTCATACAGTATATTGCACCTTGAAACAATTCCTCCAAAAGTCATGGGAAAATAAGACACGTGGTATATCCTTTCCTTTTATGAATAAATGAAGAATACAACTCTCTTCCTCTATATATAAAAAATTAGTGAAAAATAAAAAGTACCTGAAAAGCTGTTCCTACACTTGGCATTGGGCTTTTATAAACTCATTCCATAATGCAAACAGGAGACCTATTTCACAGTACATTTACAACACATGCAATTCACTTGGACTCTGAACTCGCAGCTGCTGATTAAACAAGCCCACTCTTTCAGCTGTCCTAGCATAACTTCATTAAGTTTAGCAAGCGTCAAGCTCCCAGAATGCCATAAATAATTTTGCCTTGTGAGCTAGAGCACCAAAATTTCCTCAGGCGCAAGGATGTACTACTGTCTAAAAACCTGTTCTACATGACTGGGAGACCCATAATGGTTATTATTATGGATGTAATGTTATGGTGAGAATGCATAAGCTTTTTCACTCTTACATTACACTAGAGGCCTGGTGTGCACGGGTAGAGTCCCTAGGCCTGGCTGGCAATCAGGGCTGATACAAGCTTTCCAGCTGCTGGCCGGGTCCGTTTCTGCATGATTAACCTGAAAACCACTTTATCTTTAAATCTGCATAATATAGACAATGCCAAACTATTTTCCCAATTAGTAGATTTATAGAAAAATCCTCCTTTGAACTATAAATATCAATAAACTGATTAGGCATCTTATTTAAGGTATTACATTAATATACTGGAATGTCAGAGAATAATGCTAGTTTTTTAGTCTTTTTAAACAAAAACTTCACATTTGAAGGTGCACTAATCATTTGATTCCATTCCTATATCAAGCCCACGATTTCATCTGTCAAAGAGGAAATCTATTAATACTAATATTCCTAAAATCTTATTCATTCTGTATTCTTTTTAAAATACATGTCAGAAATAATTGTTTAAAAAAGCTTGATATCATGTTTGATCAATAAATTCTATTTGAGAATTTGTTGTAGTATCTCTTAGTCTTCCACTTCTAGCCATTTCATTTTAAAATTTTACTTCTAACAATTAGTTCTTGAACCAACTATGAATCATTTGGCAACATGTTCTAATTCTGGGCCCATTAACCTACATGTGTTTTTAGATCCCATCTGGAGAGAATCACTGCCTTTATTTCTGAAAGAGATTTACTAGTCCATTCACAGCCATTTCTTTTTCTTTCAAGTTAATTTTCCTTATACCAAATAAATTAGGAAAGTTGTATTAATCCCAACAGAGCATTTCACTAGAATGCTACATCCTATACAACTATTTTCCAAAGTCAAGACAAACAAAATCCACTTTCCTTATGTAGAAAATATCACCCAAATTGTTAGGGGAAAAAAGCTTTTCTCATTCCTCTTCATTAACTCAAGGATCAAACGGAAGCTCAGAAATGTAATTGCCCTCCTGTCAAGAAAAGACTCAAAGTAACCAGATAAATATAGAATATTCTCCCAGAACAACTTGACCCAACAGCTACTGAGTTAGGTATAGAGTTAGACTACAGACATGAAAAGAGGGAGCACCTCTGCAGAAACTATTATGATGGTTCTTAAAGTACCTGAGAAGCCCAAACACTAATCATCAAGATAGATGACTCACCAGCTTTCAGGGACTGTCTCCATACTTCTCACCTAGTACAAGGATCATTAAATAATTTATTTGCTTAAGCATCTGTATTCCCTAAGATTCTTATAATGAAACCTTATTTTTCCCTCTACATTTCCAGACCCTATCAGAACACTTAACAAATAAATGGTTGGCATTTAGTGAATATTTACTAAACAGAAGGGAAACACTTGCTTCTAACAATAATCTAGCCTTGCAATGAATGGGTAAAGTATTAAAACAAATGGTGGAATTAATTACTAGAGTGACTGCTATAGCTGCCAGAGATAGGTGTTACCAGCACTGAAAGAGGGCCTCAGAAGCTAGCATGGTAGCAGTATAATAGAGACAGGTTTTTCAAAAGATGCCTCCTATTTGCTTCCTCCTTAATAACAAACTTCTTAATTTCCCAACCTCTTTTGCAGCTAGGCGTGGTCATAAGATTACATTTTTGCAATAGATGTAAATGAAAGTCTTATATAGGATATTCAAAAGGTTCTTAAGAAAGCAGAATCAGTTGGAAGTCTCTCTCTCTCTCTCTCTCTCTCTCACACACACACACACACACACACACACCATCCTGCTCTTTCTTTTTTTTTTTTTGCCTTTTCCAGGAAGTTTCAGCAGCATCCCACATGCTAAAATGACCTTGATAATGGAAGGCCAACACTAAGATAATGGGACAGAAGATAGGAACCTGAGTTTCAGGTGATACTGTGCCATAATACTCGCCCTAATCCACTTATCTCAAGAATTTTTTATGTAAGAGAAATAAATTTTACCCAAGCAATTTTTTTGCATTTTCTCCTTTGGCCACTGAGTCTAACACTATTTAGGAGACAGTGTTTGAAGTTCAAATATTTGTCTGAAAAAGAAACTAAACTAAGTCTAGATTTCAAGTTGAAGAGGATGAACCACTCTCTATTGACCCCAAGACATTAGATCATAAAATAGATCAAATACATTCATTATGAATAAACCTAATAATGTAGGAGAAATGGTTTTAAACCTCACGATCTTACTCTAATATAATTATTTTACAAAAAGAGATGAACAATTATTGGAAATGGTAAGGGCTTCCAGGTTGTAGTAGCAACAATAAGGTTAATGGTATCAAATAGCTTTATAATTAATTAGATTAATAAAACAGAGGGGGGGGGGAAGCACCCACCAACCTACAACTAATTAAATAGATAAAAAGCCTAAAGCCACAGAATTCGAAGTCCTAGATTTTAGTCATAGGTAATTTCAGGAAAATAATTTCATATATCAGGACCTTAAGTCACATTTAAAAGGCAGAGAGTGATTAGATTATACTTAAGAAACTTGCACAGTTCTAGAATTCTCTACACACTTTAACATAGTAAATATTAATTTAAAAAAAAAGCCAAAATGTATTAAGTCCTAGAATATTTCTAAAATAAAAAAAAAAACAACTACATCTTCTCTCAATACAAAGCACTGTTATGTTTCATTTATTGGTAAAAACGTTTGTGGCTACTGACTGTAACTCCTTAGGACAGCTTGTGCTACTCCTCTAACATGTGCTTGTCCCCAACTCTTCAGCTTCCTAACCCTTCCCTACCCCTTTCCGATCTTAGCATGTCTCTTCTTCAGTGAGGCTTGACCTCCAAAACAGGCCCTACCTAATTTTCTTAAACTTCATAGCAATTACCACAATTTTTCATTTATCTAATTATTTGTATTCTTTTAGTTAATGTCTCTCTCTCTCTCCAACTACAGTGAAACCTTTAGAGGGGGGACAATGTATCTGGGAATCTCACCCCACTATTTTATGTCCAGTCCTGGCATGATACCTAACACAGACGGAATTCATTTATATAAGTATTTGTTATATGAAGGAACAAATAAATGGGTAAATGAAATAGGCATTAAGGAATTGCAGAGATCTTATGAGAAAATATTACCGATTTACCTCATTAAACACAGGATACATGACTGCATAGAGAGGCATAGAAACCATTGAAGTGGTCTCAGCTTCATTCTTCATCTCTTCCATTGTCATCCTCATTCAAAAGCCAACTACAGTAGAAAAAGCAGTGCTAAAATGCAGAGGAATCTTCATTCACTGCAGTATTTCTTCTCTCTTTTTTTGTGATAAATAGGTCACAAAACATATATTGACCTGGTTAAAGGGAAGAAAGAACAGTAGTTACTACATTAAGAGGAGACAACAAATACCAGCAATTTTATTTTCCAAAGTTGAGTCCTTATCTTATGAAAATCAAAATTGTTAATATATCTTACTTGTAAAGGCAGCCCTAGTCAGTATCACATCTGTTTCCCTTCTCAGATTCAAGAATTGCCCTTTCTTAACAGTTAATACTCCACAAAGCAGTGTTGCATGATCACACTCATCTTGGACTCAGAAAGAACTCGTTATGAAGCACCATGGATTAATGATTTATCTAACTCCATCATATGCAATCTAGGAAAAATGCATAATTTATAGCATTTACATGGAATATCTATACCAATAAATATGCTAATTAGGGTGGATGTCCTTCTGGACAAAGCTGCAGTGGCTGCCCAAGGCTCGGGCAGTGGTGTGGATGAAGCTTAGGCAAGCTGTGGTGGCTGCGAGGGCAGAAGCTCAGGCAGCCACAGCAGCCAGCAGTGGCAGAAGCAGAGATGTGATGGGGATATTGCCTTTCCCGGATAGGCCAGTTGCCTCCTGCAAGCCTGGGGAGCGGGCCTAAGCCATCAATAGGACATCCACTAAGGGCTCCCAGACTGTGAGAAGGGGCAGGCTGGGCTGAGGAAACGCCCTCCTTCCCAGTGCACGACTTTTCATGTGCTGGGCCTCTAGTCCTATATAATAAAAGGCTAACATGCAAATCGACTGACTAGCAGAACAACTGGTCGCTATGATGCACACCAACCAACAGAGGCAGACGCTCAACCCAGGAGCTGCCCACTGGTAGTCAGTGCGCTCCCACATGGGGAGCAATGCTCAGCCAGAAGCTGGGCTCAAGGAACTTGGACATTACCCAAGGGCTGCTGTACTGTGAGAGGACACAGGCCAGACTTAGGTCCCCACCTCCACCCCAAGTGCACGAGTTTCATGCACCAGGCCTCTAGTACATTTATAACTATGAAATATACAGTATAATAAGTGTGTATGGAATACAAGTAAAGAATAAAGAAAGTGTATAACATTTTCATTAAATGTCTTTTGCTAATTGTTCACTGATTTTGTCATTTAAAAATAACAATAAAATCATAAGTACCAAATAACTTAAGGCAAATCTTAAATCTGGAAAACTGCTACCAAATGTGGTCCATTTGAAGAAAAAATGTTACTTAATTCTGCCAGAAGTACTTATTGAACCTAAAACAAGAAATCCACAGACACTGGTAGTCTGGAATTAAAATAGCACAATTCAAAAATATAAGAGAAATTTTATCTTGAGGAGTTAAGGAAATGTGTTGCTTTGTAAGAGAAAGCAATTACATTTATTCCCCTTGCAAGGATAAAAAATAAGCCTAATTATAAGGTGGAAGTGCAACACTAGTAACTTAGTTATATATATATAGTTACAAAACAATCAATGTGAATAATTTCTACCATTTTCAAAGCATTCTCAGATTATAAAACATTTCCACATGCATTTAATCCTTATAACTTATTTACAGTAATTGTCATTCTAATTTTCATTCTAATGAAAAAGAAGGCTCGGGATAATAATTTGCCCAAGATCACACATGTGGAGGCCCAACACTGAATCCCAGTACTTAGAATCCAGATCTGATACTCCCACATCATAAAATCAAGTCTGAAGTGGAAACAAAGAACCTGAGTTCATCCACCCAAGAAAATACCCAGAAGTAGAAGTTATTTATTTACTGAATAAATATATGTTTAGCACCTACCACTTGCAAGATGCAGTGGGAGATGAATAAGATATCCTAATCGTTAAGAATTTACCTCGGCCAGACTTTGAAAGGACTAAGCAGTTTGAAGGGTATTATCAAAGGCCTGGAGTACTTATAGCTTCAAAATTCTCCAATAATCCATCCTATTTGAGAACTGTTTACTATCCTTCCATATTCTAACCAATGAAGGGGAACTCAACACCTACTTGAACAGTCTGATTCCATTTCTAGTAGTTCTAAACACAGACAATTTGTCCAATTTCTGAGCTGACATATGGTCCCTGACTTCACAGAACAACAAAACAAGGCCAATTCCTAAATTTTATTCTAGGGCAAGAGAAAATCATTACCTGATCAGATCATTGATTTAAGTAGATTGCTTGATCATAGCATTAAAAATAGAATAGAGGAACAGAAACTGAAGGCAGGGAAAACATGTATCTTTACAAGAGATCAACAACCTGAATAATAAGAGGAAGTAGGTAAATATTAGTTGTGGCCCTACTGTTCCTATTTAACTACCTAATAGGCCCCTTGGTAACATGCTTTTCCACTTATAAATAAATTGTGAATACTTTTTTATAATAAACTTGGAACAAAGCATAGGGGCTAAAATACAAAGGAACTGGTCAAAATGAAAATGATAGGTACAGTATGCACAGTTTAACAGGAAAAGAAGGTACATATACTGTGTCAATGAAAAAAGCAAGTAAGAAATAGTAGGACAAGGTCAACAGAACCTGGGAAGCCATCTCACTGGGTGACAGAAAAAGAAAATCATTCCTTACTTAATAAATATTTATTCATTACCTACACAGCATTAGGCCTGGTACTAGACAGAAACCAGTAAACAAGGCTAGACATTCTCTGGCTTCATGCCTTATACTAAGGGAGGGAAGAGAAAATGAACAGTTGTGAGTAGGACATAGGGGAGAAGTCAGAATGCTATACTGCTGTGGGAAAAAGGGATGAGAGAACCAGCATCACAAAAACCAAGTGTTTCAAATATTCCCAAGCATGGACAACAAGTTTAAAAAAAAACTTATTTGGTTTCTTGACAAGGTCACAAATAACACTCAAAGAGTAGTATCATCCTGCAAGGGCTGATATAGTGAGAGAAGGCTACAAGAATCTCAGTAAAAAGGAGGTGAAACACTAAAGGAGGTTTAACAGAATCACTTTTTTCTTTTACTCTTTCAAACACATGTGCCTGTCCCTGCATATACTAGGTGTACCAGTTAATAATGGTGGATTTTGTAATCAAAGAAAACATGATAATTTCAAGAGAAACATCAAAAGTGCTTTATTCAAAGTAATGTCCATCACTAGCTACACACTTCCCCCATCTTTCAGGTAATTTGTGCATACCGTCCCAATAGAACTTTTCTTGTTTTGAGGCAAACCATTCAGAGACCCTATTTTCCACTTCTTCATACGTTTTGAAGTGGTGCTCAGAAAGTATGTGTGCCATCGATTGGAACAAGTGGTAATCTGAAGGAGCAAGGTCTGGTGAATACAGCAGGTGGGTTAATACTTTCCAGGCAAGATCTTTTAACATGTCTTTAACTGGTTTTGAAGTGTGTGGTGGTGCATTATCAGGAAGCAAAATTACTTTGCCGTGCCTTCTGGCACATTCTGGTTGTTTCACGATCAAAGTGTGGTTCAAATTGATTATTTGTTCATTATTTGTTGTCGGTAGCAATCGGTATTAACCGTTTCACCAAGTTATAGAAGCTCATAATAAACCACACCTTCCCGATCCCACCAAATGCAGAAGATTGTCTTTTTTCACAAGCGATTGGGTCTTGCAGTCGATGTTGATGGTTGATCTGGATCAATCCATGATTTTGTGCGTTTGCAATTCTCAAAATAAACCCACTTTTCATCACCAGTCACAATTTGATGCAAAAAAAGACTTTATTTCGTGCAACATTTTACTGATGATATCTTAGTCTTCCATTTGTCTTTTGTTGAGTTAATGTGGCACTCATTTTTTTTTCTTTAAAACCTTTCCCATTGCTTGTAAACAATCAGAAATTGTTTGCTGAACAAAGTTTAGTCTTTCTGCAAGTTGTTTTTGAGTTTGAAAAGCCTCTTCATCAAAATACTGCTTGTGATAGCTGGTCTTCAAACTTTTTCAGTTGACTGAGACATTCGTGGTCTTTCACATTAAAATCATCAATTTTTAAAGCATTTAAACCAGCGTTCTCACATACCTTGAGATGCAGCATATTCACCACAAGCTTCCCAAAGTACAACTTTTTCTTCAAAATAATGAATTAAAACTTCCAGCAAATGCTCTTTTTTTTTTTGGCACAAAATTCAACACTTTTAAGCGTAAAAATATCTATGTTAACACCTTCCAAAAATTTGACATATGAAGTTTTGAAGCTTGCTGGCAATACAACAAAATAGCATACATATCAAATTGTATATATATCAACATATGTAACTCCATCTATCGAAAAAAATCCACATTATTAACTGGTACAGACATAAGGAGATGCAGAAAGTGTTCACTTTTATGATTCAAATGAATTATATATTTTCTTTAAACTAGTTTTACAGTACTGGCTACTACTATTTGTCATAAAAAAGACAGTAACATTGCAACATCATTCTGGGCTAAATAGTTGGCTGGCCCACAACACACTCAATCACCTTTTAATATTGTTCCTGTGGATTAATTTACAACTTTTCAGAACACACATTTACAAATTAGGACCACTCATGGCTTCATTAGTGTTAACCTGAGATTAAAAAACACCAATTCCAGTGCACTCTCCCTCCTGGGAGCATGCCTTAGCCTTTCCCCTCTTCCTCTTCTTCCCCAACATGCATGAATCTCCTACACTTTAGGGAATCCATGAGGCTTTAGACCAGGGGAGCAAAAGAGAGCAGCAGTTTGTCCCAGGCAAACCTCCTGAACCTGTCTCAAAACCCCTTCTCTTTGACTGCTTAGTGAGCCAAAGCAGCTCAGCCTAGGCTCATTTTCACCCAGTCCCTCTTCTGCTATCCTTGATCCTTTCCTGTTTCACTGTCCACAGCTTTAATAAATGTCGTCCCAAATTCAAAACAAACAAAAACAAACCACCAAATTCCATCAAGGATTATTAAACTGTTCTGCTAATTTTA